TTGACAAATACCCACAAATGGTTCTTGATTTGAAAGGGCTTTACATTGACACCCGCTTTGTTCTTCTTCTTGATTATGTCCACCATTTTGGCCACAATTTGATCGGCAATATAGTCCACGTGTTTACCCCCACGTGTGGTCGCTATTGAGTTGACGAACGAGACCTGTTGGAAGCCTTTGTCGCTAACGGTGGCCGCGATTTCCCACCGATTGTTGACCACTTCGTAAGCGGTCTTCAACTGTTCGCCCGTCTCATCCTCTTTGCCTCTGACGAAGAGCTCGACGTAATCCTTGAAGCCATTGATTGGCAGGCGTTTGCCGTTGAGAAACACTTTAACACCTTTGGCAGCGCCGGCGCAGTCGTACGCCCGACGGGAGAACAGAGAGACGATGTCTTTGTCCAGCGAATCCATTTTGAACTTCGAGAGGTCGGGAGAGAACGTAATGCGTGTGAAGTCTTCATTGGCCGATGAGGTGATCTTCGGCTCCGACGTGTTCTGCATATTGTCGGTCCAGACCTGACTGAAGGCCTTCTTATATTGCTTACAACTGGTCTCCACTTTGAATCGTGTGCTGAATATATTGCAGAGTTTGGCGCCGTAACCGTTGCGACCGCCGACCACTTTCTTCTCATTGTCGTCGTAGTTGGAAGACGTCAGCAGATGGCCGAAGATCAGTGTCGGCACAAACATCTTCTCGTCCTTGTGTTCAATCACTGGAATGCCTTTTCCATTGTTGAAAATCATTATCTCATTCTTCTCCCTATAGATAGTGGACATCAAATGGGAAGATGGCCGAAGATCAGTGTCGGCACAAACATCTTCTCGTCCTTGTGTTCAATCACTGGAATGCCTTTTCCATTGTTGAAAATCATTATCTCATTCTTCTCCCTATAGATAGTGGACATCAAATGGGAATATCATTGGCTGTTAACCAAAGCACACACGGCTCGTGTCCGCCACCGCCGGTACTTACGGGTCGATATCAATGCGAATACAAGACATGCCCTTTGGGTCGCGTTGCTTGTTGTCGGCGGCGTTGACCAGCACTTCGTCGAAGATCTTATAGAGCCCGGGAACGTATGAGATGTCCCTCAACTCCATACCCGAGTCCTCGTTATAGACCCACATTTGCTGTCAAATCAAATACAAGACAAAATCAATCAATGAGTGGATCCGTTAACGCAATGGCCGCCAAAGGCTATGACATGACATGACAATGCCATCCAATCAGTACATACTTTGGTCTCCCTCTCGACGGAACCGATGTAAGTGTCGGGTCGAAGGAGGATGTGCTCCAACTGTGTCTTCTTCTGGTATATCCTCTCAACCGACAGCTTCTTCTTTGTGTTGCCTTTGGATGGCTTTGTTTGGAAAGAGCCGTCAGAATCGCTCATTGAGTCGTCTGAAGACATTTTCGGTGATTTGTCCGCAGATTTGTGCCGCAAATGAAGTGAAGAGTGTTTCGTGTATTAAGTATGAAATCAGTAAAGCATTGGTTTAATCATATGTTTGCCGGCATTTCAACCAATGGTCACATTCTTCAGCAAAAAGACCGCCATTTTTGTCGATATTATTGTTTCCATTCAAATACCACTTTCGGCTCATAACAAAGGGGGCACTCATTCCACTCACTGTCACGTTATTTGTGAACACACTCTCAACCAAACCATATACCAAACGGTATTCTTGTATTCTGTACTTTTGGATCAATTCTGTGGCCAAAGAATCGTTGATATAATGTATGATTGAATTGTGGCTCTAATTGCAGTCAATACGAGTATTGCGATAACAGACGCAAACATTTATACGAATAACAACTCAATTCATTTATTTGTCAAACTTTTTCAATTTTATTCAATATTTTTGTGTCGATATAAAAATATTTAATAAATTTTCATGAATTATATATTATGTGCTAAATATATAAAATTTATTAATTATTTATTAAAAAATTAACATTTCTTAATAATATATTTAATGGCATTTTAAGGCAAATAGGATTTGTATGCTTTAAATATTATTTTAATTTTGAGAATTAGACAACAAATAACAAAATAAAAATCAGTGCAAAACCTCTTAAAATTCAAACTTCTTTTGATTGACAATATATTCAAATATTGTAACCCTTTTATACACAAGTCGTTTAAAAATACCTGCAATGAAATGGGAAAGTGATTGTTTTTGTCGAGCGATTTCTATCTATATTTTAATCTATAAATAAATATAGACTTCTATCAAAAGCCTGAATAAAGTATATTTCACTCAATAATGAGTTAAATATCTTTTAAAACAACAATTCGTAACAATAAATAAAATTTAAAAACTTTAAGTTAGACTAAAATTTCTTCAGATCTTCTGTGCAATCAATAGGAAGGAAGAAAATAGAAGTGAATATGAAATAAATAATTGAATGCAAAACACAACTTAAGTCTCAGTTATAGCACTCGTCTGATGGCAAACCTAATTATGGCAAAGAGTGTCTAAAACATTGATTTGACTGAAATTGTAAGAAAACTAAAATAGCAATAACATGTTCTTGAATAGCATTTTCATCATAAATTAGTCAAAATATAATATAAAATTCATTCATTCATTCATTTAGCAATGGTTTCCATTGGAGGAAAATCTTCATTCACAGCGCAATCGGATATCAATCCGTTTTCACACCGTTTTTGCCAATAAGAGGCGCGTTTCAGTATCGCTGGACTATATTTGCGTTCATTATTGGCTTTATTTTTATTGGCATCCATCGATACGTTACCAGAATTGGATTGAATACTACTCGTATTACTCTCATCCGAAGCATACCTAAACAATTATTTTGAAATTAAAATCAATAGACATTTTTAATAGAAAATTATTATTAAAACAAACCCTTCATTAGTAGGACTGCATGGTATGGAAGGACTACTGGATTCACTTTCAATAAGACTAACGGGCCGTTTGTGTCCATTAATATCCATACGGTTTCGTTGAGTTCTCGGAAGATTGAGTTGAGACATTTGACGGAACTCTTTGGTTAGACTTCGAGCGGTCAGACTATGCACCTAATCGTCATTTCCCACACATTAGTGTTTCAAGTTTATAAACTCATTAAATAACTTATGTTCGCATAGAAATACCGGTCTCTTTGTGTACACTATTACAGTTAAAATACTATTTTTATACACAGTATGCACTTTAAGCTCTTAAATTATACGCTTAATTATTATGCAAATAATTAATTTTTTTTGCAGTTGATGTGGAACTCAGATATCATATTGTAATCCAGTGTTCATTAATTCAACAAAAAATAAGAATTAATTGTTATAATGGCTTAAATAACAAAAGGCTGCCTTTTTGTAACTTTACTTTTTCAGTGTTATAATCTTTTTTTGCAATAATTGCAATATTTTAAATATTCATAGATTATGCCTATACTTCTCAGATATGACTAAAAATAAAACATGATTTGTTTTTTAGCATGATTTTTGGCATACCGTAGTAATTTTTAGCACAGTACTACAGGGTATAAATTACATTACAAATTTTACCCAAAATTTATCCCAACGAGAAGATAAGGACTATTACCATAGCCTATGGTCCATAGGTCATAGACTTTATGGTATAGACAATGATTTCAACATTTATAAAAAATATTGGCTCAAATGTGAAATTAAAGTCCATATGCCGTAATATTTTAATTATGAATTGAATATGAGATATGAAACATGTCTTATAAGTTAAAACACTTAAATTCTTCTATCAAATGCAGTAAAAACTAAAATATTTACTATCGATACACTATTGAAGTCTATAAATAGTTTAATGAATAAATATGCCATAAATACCTTAAAATTGTTTGTTTGTAAACCATTTTTGGAAAAATTATTGAATTTTGAATCCGAGAAACTATTTTTCCTCTTAATATCGACTAATTTAGGAATCGTAAAGATGGCCGAAGATCAGTGTCGGCACAAACATCTTCTCGTCCTTGTGTTCAATCACTGGAATGCCTTTTCCATTGTTGAAAATCATTATCTCATTCTTCTCCCTATAGATAGTGGACATCAAATGGGGATATCATTGGCTGTTAACCAAAGCACACACGGCTTGTGTCCGCCACCGCCGGTACTTACGGGTCGATATCAATGCGAATACAAGACATGCCCTTTGGGTCGCGTTGCTTGTTGTCGGCGGCGTTGACCAGCACTTCGTCGAAGATCTTATAGAGTCCGGGAACGTATGAGATGTCCCTCAACTCCATACCCGTGTCCTCGTTATAGACCCACATTTGCTGTCAAATCAAACACAAGACACAATCAATCAATGAGTGGATCCGTTAACGCAATGGCCGCCAAAGGCTATGACATGACATGACAATGCCATCCAATCATTACATACTTTGGTCTCCCTCTCGACGGAACCGATGTAAGTGTCGGGTCGGAGGAGGATGTGCTCCAACTGTGTCTTCTTCTGGTATATCCTCTCAACCGACAGCTTCTTCTTTGTGTTGCCTTTGGAGGGCTTTGTTTGGAAAGAGCCGTCAGAATCGCTCATTGAGTCGTCTGAAGACATTTTCGGTGATTTGTCCGCAGATTTGTGCCGCAAATGAAGTGAAGAGTGTTTCGTGTATTAAGTATAAAATCAGTAAAGCATTGGTTTAATCATATGTTTGCCGGCATTTCAACCAATGGTCACATTCTTCAGCAAAAAGACCGCCATTTTTGTCGATATTATTGTTTCCATTCAAATACCAATTTCGGCTCATAACAAAGGGGGCACTCATTCCACTCATTGTCACGTTATTTGTGAACACATTCTCAACCAAACCATGTACTGTATATAATATTATTCTTATATTCTGTAATTTGAGATCAATTCTGTGGCCAAAGAATCGTTGATATAATGTATGATTGAATTGGGGGTCAATTGTGGCTCTAATTGCAGTGAATACCAGTATTGCGATAACAGACGCAAACATCTCTACGAATAACAACTCAATTCATTTATTTGTCAAACTTTTTCAATTTTATTCAATATTTTTGTGTCGATATAAAAATATTTAATAAATTTTCATGAATTATATATTATGTGCTAAATATATAAAATTTATTAATTATTTATTAAAAAATAAACTTTTCTTAATAATATATTTAATGGCATTTTAAGGCAAATAGGATTTGTATGCTTTAAATATTATTTTAATTTTGAGAGTTAGACAACAAATAACAAAATAAAAATCAGTGCAAAACCTCTTAAAATTCAAACTTCTTTTGATTGACAATATATTCAAATATTGTAACACTTTTATACACAAGTCGTTTAAAAATACCTGCAATGAAATGGGAAAGTGATTGTTTTTGTCGAGCGATTTCTATCTATATTTTAATCTATGAATAAATATAGACTTCTATCAAAAGCCTGAATAAAGTATATTTCACTCAATAATGAGTTAAATATCTGTTAAAACAACAATTCGTAACAATAAATAAAATTTAAAAACTTTAAGTTAGACTAAAATTTCTTCAGATCTTCTGTGCAATCAATAGGAAGGAAGAAAATAGAAGTGAATATGAAATAAATAATTGAA